TGTGCCCCCCCCCACCCGGGGCTGGCGCTGCCAGGGGTGCCCCACGGCACGGGGCACCTTGAGGCTCCAGGCACGCACTGCAGGGCACTCGCGGCTCCTCCAACCTTGAGGTGCTGCAGCAGCGCCCCAAAAAGGGCTGGGGAACCCCAGAGCTCAGGCACCCTCTTTGTGGCAGCACCGCCATCGGCGCTGGATGGTGCCAGGACAGTGGCTCAGGGCACGGCGGCTCAGGGCACGCGCGGCCAAATGTGGCACGTTGTCACACCAGAACCTCCTGGATATAAATAGATGCAGAGCGGCGGGATGGTGAATCCCAGCGCCGCAGGGCAGGCGGTGGCGGTGGCACAGCCGTCCCCAGGCTCTGTGGCCGCGACGCTGTTCCTGCCACAGGGAGCGAGCGTGGGGACACGGAGGATGTATGAGGGACAGCTGAGCGAAGCCAGGTGTCCCTGTGGGATGGAGCAGCCGCAGGCACCGCCAGGCAGCTCCGGATGAGGCGCAGGGCAGTGCCCTGCTCCTGGTCATCCCGCTGTCGGTGTCACCGTGTCACCTGGGAGGGCTGCGAGCAATGGGCAAAGGGGCCTGACACCCACCAGGGCACCCACGGGCATCCCTGGTGTGAGCACCCGCGGGAGCAGGCGCATCCTCGAGCCGCAGCAAGGTCACCCCCAAGGGCAGGGTGGGGGCCCACGGGTGACATATGGCCCGGGAGCAGTGGCCGCGGGGCCCCTAAGCCACCGAGCCGTCACCCGCTAATCCCGGCGCAGGGACGCGGCGGGTGCTGCACCCGCAGCCAGCAGCCGGTGCCCGCCCGGCTCCCCGGAGCGGGGGGACCGCCTTGGGGAACCCCCGTGTCCCCCCAGCACCCGCCGCGCTGCGGGGCGGCCCCTGCCACCAACGAGGTCAAAGGTCAGAGGCACAGATTTGGGGGACAGACGCACAGATTTGAGGGACAGACGCACAGATTTGTCCCCGCACCGGCCCGCCCCAACCTGGGGCGCTGCTCCCCGTCCCCGGGGGGGTCCCCCCTCTATGGGGATCGAACACCCGGGGGACTGCACCCCCCAAGCCCCCACCCCGCCCAGAGCTCCGCCGCCCCCAGCCCGGCCCCGGGCAGCTGCTGCGGGAGGGAGGCAGCGGCCGACGGTCCCTTCCCCGGCCCCGCCGCCCCCCGCCCGGCTCCCCCGGGCCCCCCCGCCCGCCGCCGCCCTGTCAGCCGCGCAGAGCGATGGCTTCCTCCGCCCGCCGGCCAGGAAACGGCGCAGACGCCGCTCCCGCCCCCCGGCCCCCGGCGCCCCCCGCGCTCCCGGCCCCGCTCCCCCGCCGGGCCCCGGCCCCGCCGCACCCCGAAAAGGGGAAGCGGCCCCGGCCCCCCCCGCCCCGGGAAGGTGGGGGCAATGTGGCTGCGCGCACCGGCGGCCCAGGGGAGCCCGGTAATCCCGGGCTGGTGTCCCCAGCACCGCGCTCTGTGGCGGTCGGCCGGTCGCCGGTGGGGTGGAGAGGCTGGCGGAGCGTCCCCGGAGCCCGCCCCGGGGTGGGGGGGGCAGCGCTGCCGCCCGGGAGCGCCCGGGCAGTCGGTACCGGGAGAGGGAACTCCGGCACCCCCAAGCCCAGTGTAGGAGGCAGAGGTCGAAGCCGCGATCCCGAAGCCGCTGCGGCCCCGGTGCTCCCGGCAGCCGCAGCCCGGCGGAGTCCCTCCCCCGCTGCGGGAACCTCGGGATCACCCGTTACCGGAGGGGGATCCCCAGAGGCGGTACCGGAGCCGCACCAAGACCCTCCTTCCCAACCCCGCTCCCACGGGCAGATCCAGAGCCCCCTCATTACCTGCTCACGGAGACTCCAACACCGAAATCCTTAAACCCGGGGAGTTCCCGGTGGTGGCTGCATGGCGGCGGCACCGGGAAGGAGCGGGGGGGAAGGGGCGGGGGGGGGGGGGGGGGTTCGCCCCGGCTTAGAGGGGTGAGGGAGGGGTGGGGTGGGGGTTCCCGGGGGGGTTCACCGAGCGGCGGCCGCGGCCATTGCGAGTCATGTGCTCGCGGGGAAACTTTACCCGGGGCTGGGCCGGGCGGGGCAGCGGCGGCGGCGGCGGCGGCGGCGGCGGAGGGCGGGGGGGGGAGCGGGAGGAGGACACGCCCCTCTCTGTGACCACGCCCCCGCCCCGCCCAACCGGCCAATGGGACGCGGGCGGGGGCGGGGCGGGGGCGGGGCCAGCTGGGCTTTGTAACTCTTTGAAGTCTCCAGAAAGCGGAAGGGGAGAAAGTGGGTGCGCGCGCCGCGCCGGGGGGGGGGAGTTCTTAAAGGGGCCGCACACCACAATTTGAATGCCCCCCCCTTACCCTTCTCCCCCCCACACTCACAGGAGGAGGTGCTTCAACCCCCAGCCCGCTTCCCTCTTTTCTGACTCTGGATACCTACCCCCACCCCCCCTCGGGTGGAGGATTGGGGCACCCACATGAGGGAAAACAGGGGGTGGGTGCTCCAGGGGTGTAGGGGAGAAATGGGAACACACTGGGAGCAAGAGGGAAGAGGGATGGGGAGTCACTGAGCTGGCCCCCAGGCTCAGGGGAAAAGGGCTGGGGGCACCTGTGGCACCCCGGGTGTACAGAGTGCCTGTAGCCAGAGGAATTCCCCGCTCTGTGTCCCTGGAGAGATGCTGATCCTAGGAAGGGGATGGCGATGGAGACACGGACATGGACACAGGCTGCCCAGCCACATTCTGGAAGCCCAGAAAGGGCTGCACCCACCAGCACAGCCCAGACCCTGTGGCACAAGGGCTGGGAGGGCAGTGGGGCAGGAGCTCCCCTGGGAAGACACAGATGTGAGGAGTGTAGGCACCCTCAGCACATGCCCCGGGGGGAGTCACACCGACCCCCTGCTACCCAGGACCCTTGGGTGCCTGTCAAGATCCCACTGTGCCCACACAGCAGGGTGATGCCCACCAGGCCACTCAGCACATTTCCGTGCCTCAGTTTCCCCCATGTGCTCACCAGACCGAGGTTGGACACCGTGGCCGGGCCAGCCTCTGGCCCCCTCTCCGCACACCGAGGCCCAGGCGCCGGCATGTGCTCAGCCCAGTGGAATGTGCCAAATCACTCCCAGATGTGCACGCCGGCCAGCCCGACCCCCCTGCGCTCCCACCGGGGCACAGCCGGACACCGGGGACCCCCCGAGCCCAGCCCGGCCCCGCCGCACCGAGCCCATCCCCGGCCGCATCCCGCCCGGTGCCGCTCCCGCGGCGTCGCCGCACCGAGGGCGGGCAGGAGGTGCCACCAGCAGCACCGTGTCCCCCGTGCCACCGAGGCCTCGGCCGGCGCGGGGTCGTGCGGGGTCCCGCCCCGCAGCCGCGGCCCCGGTGCCAGGCGGGAGCAGCCGGGCGGAACGGGGCTGTCAGATGGAATCTGGGTGCCGGCGGTGACGGCGCGGCGGGAGGCGGCCGTGCCCGCCACGTGGCCGCTTATGTAAGGAGAGTGCAAGGGAGGACAGCGGGGCACCGGGGACACCGGCGAGGGGACACCGAGCCCCCGCCGCGCCGAGCGCTCGGGCACGGCCCGGCCCGGCCCGGCCCCGTGGGCACGGCACGTGTGTGCGGGGACAGGCGACACGGCTGCCGGAGCCCGGCGGTGCCTCGGGCTCCGCACATCGCTGCCGGTGTCGCGGGTGTCCCCTCGCCACGCTGCTGCCACCGCGGTGACGAACGGCTCCGGCACCCACGCTCCCGCATCCAGCTGCGCCATCGATTTTTCATCCACTGCGGCAGAGCGGGGCTGAGGCTGGCACTGGCATGGCCGGGGGGGGCTGTCCCTGCCGCTGTCCCGCTGTCCCCATCGCCAGGACACCCCAGGGACACTGCCGGGACTGGCAACAGCCCGGGGTGCCACCGGTGTGGCCCAGATGTGGAGGTGTCCCCTGTGCCACCATCACCACGGGGGGACATGGGAGGACAGAGGAACCGGGGGGACAGGGGGGAAGGATGCCTGCCAGCATCACCCCCGCGTCACCGCACGCTGCCAGGCGCTTCCTTCCTGGCACTGCCACCGTGTGCCATGTCACCGTGTCCCTGGGGCAGGACGTGGTGAGCTGGGGACCCCCGGGCAGCCCACGGGCAGGATGATGCTGGTACCCGCTCAGCCCCAGAGCCTGGTGACAGCGGCTGGGTCACAGTGCAGAGAGGGACAGGGACAGGCTCCTGACGTGCTGAGGGCACCGGGACACACAGCCCGGAGCGGGCACAGCCCGGGCTGACCCCGGAGCCCGCCCGTGCCGGCGCACACGTCCCACACATGGCAGGGCCGGCTATAAATAGCGCCGGCAGCCCGGGCTGAGCCTGCTCGGGGCCCGCGGGGCTCCCACATTCCCCCCCGTGCTCCTCCTGCCTCGGTTTCCCCGCCGCTCCCCACGGCCAGCAGGGACACACGTGTCCCCAAGGTGTCCCCTGGTGCTGCACCCTGTTTGTGGTGGCACCCAGGGACCTCAGCGGGCTCCCCTTTGTGTCCTTGTCCTGGGCAGCCGGTGGAAATGTCCCCATGTCCTGTGAGCTGCAGGGATGCCGCAGGGGCAGAGCTGGAACAGAGCAGGGCCACCCCCTGGGGCCACAGGGTGGGAAACTGAGGCACACGGGGGGGCTCCAGTACCACGTCCTCCCCCACCAGCAGCACCCCATGCCTGGCCAGGAGCTGTGAGGGGCAGCCAGGGGGGTGCTGGGACGGGACAGGGTGGGAGGGCAGAGGTGGGGTGGGATGAAGGCACGTGGGGCACAAGCACAGCCTCATCCCCTCCCACTCCCCCCACCCCCATCTGGAGCCCCCCCCGCGATGAGGAAGCTGCAAAATTAGGTCAAAGCGTCCATTATTTAACAGAAAGGAAGGAGCTGGGGCCAGGAGCTGAGGCTGGGGCTGGAGCCCAGGAGAGGGGATGGGGAGGACAGGGCTGGGTCCCCACAGCTGTGGGGCAGGCAGGGATTGGGGGAACAGGGGTGAAACACGGAGGACAAGAGACAAAGCTGAACCAAAATGACTTTATTTCATGGCAGAAGATAAAAGGATGCACCGTGTCCTCTCCCCCCACAGAGGTCCCTGCCCCTCCTGTGCCACTGCCAGCACTGGGACCCAGAGCACTGGGGAGATTCTCCCTGCAGCCAGAGTGGTCAAGAAGGTTCCAGAGAGCCCCAGAAGGCTCTGAAAGAGTTGGGAGCAAATATGGTCCAGGATTCATGGCAGGAACAACACCAAAGCTCAGGATGACACACCAGGGTGACAAGGGGGACCAGGAGCACCCCACTCCCTACACAAAGGCTGTGGGGGCCACAGAGGGGCTGAGGGGTGTCCCAGCCTCCCACCTAAGCTCCCATCATGCAGCAATTACAATAAAACATTAATAATATTATTACATTAAAATATTAATAAAAAGACCCCAGACTGACAGTCCCCAGGGCAGAACTTGACAAATGTCCAAAACCTTGGGAGCCACTTCTCTGCTCTTGCCAACAGCAGCAAAACCCCCCTTGGGACCAGAGGGAGGGCGTTAGTGCAGCCCCTGGGTGAGGATGCTGCCCACCAGCGCCGTGTCCTGCAGCCTGTGCTCCAGAGCTGCCTCCTCCAGCATCAGGGAAACCTGGGAGGGAAAACAAGGGTGCTCAGCACCAAGATCCTGCCCTGCCCCACCACTGCATCCTGTCCCAGTGCTGTCACCAGACCCTGGGAGGGGGAACAAGGGTGCTCAGCACTGAGATCCTGCCCTGCCCCACCACTGCATCGTGTCCCAGTGCTGTCACCAGACCCTGGGAGGGGGAACAAAGGTGCTCAGCACTGAGATCCTGCCCCACTCCCACCACTGAATCATGTCCCAGCACTGTCACCAGACCCTGGGAGGGAAATCTGGGAGGGAGATCAGGGGTGCTCAGCACCGAGCTGCCAGATCCTGCCCTGCCCCACCACTGCATCGTGTCCCAGCACTGTTCCTGCCCCAGCACCCCATGGTACCTTGGCCAGCCGGGCCTCCTTGGCCCTCTTGAGCTCGAGGACACCGCGGGACTCCAGGAGGGTGACAAGGGACAGACACTCGGCCTGGTCGACGGCAGGGAGCTGCTGCCGCCGGCACACCTGGCTGTAGGTGTCGTGGAGCTGGGGAGGGCAGGGAGGGGTTACACCACAGCAAAGCCCCCAAGGGACACCCCAGGGACGCCCACCCACTGCCCAGGTGCAGCCCTGAGAGGGTCCCACGTGCACTCACCTTCCCCAGGGTCACCACACGGGCGTGGGAGCGCCGGGCAAGCAGGAGCAGGGAACAGAGCAGCACCTTCTGCTGCAGGGGGAAGGTGTCCTGGGCCCCCAGGGACCCCCCTGCCAGGCGGTCCCCAAACACCTCCGAGAGCACCCGGGAGATGTGCAGGAGCCCCACGCGCTTGGGGACAGGGGACACCGGGGAGTCACCTGTGGGACAGACAGAGGATCCCAGGGAGGTGAGAACAGGGAGAGAGGTGTCCCACAAGGGGAGCCCAGACTCCCACTGAGGTGACCCCCGAGCAGGGTTTTGGCTCTGGCAGCAGGGACTCACCCCTGGGCAGTGGCTTCAGCAGGGTCTGGCCTCGCACCTCCAGCTCCACCACCTCCACGGCACGCCTGGGGAGGGACAGCCCTGAGTGCCAGGCAGAGTGGGCACCCCTGGCATGGGCACCGTGGTGCAGGGGAGCCATGCAGACTCCCAGGGACCAACCTGGCTGGGTTTTGGGGCACACACTGACCTACAGACATCCAAGGCCTTGCGAGCATCACCAGAGACTGCAGAGACCTTGCGGGCACAGAACTGGAGTGCAGCAGAGTCCAGGACGGGGTCACCTGCCACCTGTGGGGCACCAGGGCCGTCAGTGCTGCCACCTGTGTGGCCAGAGGACCCCATGGTCCCCCAGTCTGTCCTCCCCATGTCCCCACCTGTCCCAGCCTCTCCTGCAGGATGAGGGTGAGCTGCTCCTTGGTGTAGGGTGGGAAGTGCAGCAGCCGGGGCTTGCCAGCCAGGTGGGCTCCCAGCCTGGCCAGGCTCCTGTCTGTCAGGTCCAGGGCATTGGCCAACCCTGCAGGGCAAGAGGAAGAGGAGGATGAGGGCTGTTCTCCAAGGAAAGAGCAGGAGGGGGCTGCAAAGAGAAGTCTCCATCAACCCCCACTAAAGAGGGAGGGTGCCCAGGAGAGCAGCGCACCCTCCTACACACCCTGCACACTCACCCACGAGGACGAGCCTGGAGCTGGGCAGCTGGGGCCACTCAAAGAGGGTGTAGAGCACGTCCTGGCCTTTGCTCTCCAGCTGGTCCAGCTCATCCAGCACCAGGAGGCTGTGGGAGAGCCCAGATCAACCTCTGCTCTGTCACCTCACAGCACTCCAAGCAGGGTGAGCAGAGCTGCTGCATCCAGGGGAATCCCACTCCACCCAGCAGAGACAGGGAACTCACACCATGGGCCCCTGGGCCGTCAGATGCTTCTCCAGGCTCCTGATACGCTCCCGGCCAGTGGCCATGGGCAGCCCCAGCTGCTGTGCCAGGGCAGGGAAGACGCTGTGGGGGCTGCCCAGTGCCATGCAGTTCAGCACCACAGTCCTGCTGCCAGCCAGCTTGTCCTGCCAGGAATGGGAATGTTACAGCAGCCCCATCCCACTGCCCCCAGAGCAGCCCCACAGCCTGGCCATGGCACACACCTTGCAGTCGAGCAGAACACGGCTCAGACAGGCTGTTTTGCCAGTCCCAGGGGCTCCGGACACGTAGAGGCTGCCGGGCCGGCGCCCCAGGACGTGTTCCAGCAGGAACTGCCGCAGCAGCCCCGTCTCCTTCTCCCTGCCCTGCAGCCGCTCGGGCACGGCCGCGTGCAGCACCTGCTTGGCCTGCTGGTAACAGGTACCTGCACGGGGAGCAAGAGGACTCAGGGAGGGAGGTGGCTGGGAGGTGGACCCCATCCCAGCTGATCATCATCCCCATCCTCATCCCTGCCTTCAAATCTATCCCTAGCTCCATATACCCATCCCTATCCTCATATCCCCAACCCCATCCTTTGCTCCACACCCTCAGCTCGACCCCTATCACCATCCCTTACCCATATTCCCAATCCCATCCCCATCCCTGCATCCCCATCCACAACCCCATACCCAGCCCTGCCCACACTCACAAGCCCATCCATAACCCCATACCCACCTTCCTTCATCCCCATCCCATCCATAACCCCATACCCACCTTCCTCCATCCCCATCCCATCCATAACCCCATACCCAGCCCTGCCCACACCCATCACCCCATACCCACCTTCCTGCCTGAAGAGCCGGGTGCGTGGCTGCTGCCCGTTGAGCCCTGAGCTCCGGGGGGTCTCTGGCCCCCCACTCCGTGGGGATGGCCCCAAGCCCTTGGGCTGCTCGGGGGAGGCCGAGGGGTCCCCAAAGAGCAGGCGACGCCCCTGGTTCTCCTTGCTGCGTTTGGCCGGGGAGCAAGATAAGGCATGGGGGACATTGCACAGGTTGTCATCACCTGCGGGGACAACAGGCTGGTGGTGACACAGGGCCGCTCTCCCTGGGGGAGTTTATGCTTCAGCCACCCCCAAAGCCCCGCGGGAGCAGCTCTTCCTCCCGAAATGGGGGTGAAGCCGCAAACGCAGCTGGACCAGAGCCGGACGGGGCTGGGTCTGTCTGTCTGTCCCAGCCCCCCCGGGATGAGAAGGGGGATGTGCCCCCCACCGTTCCCGGGGGGTCCCGGTGGAGGGACTCACCCAGGCGTTTTCGGGGGCTCAGGGGCTGCGCTTTGGGGCTCAGGGTCTGCACTGTGGCCCGGCTTGAGCGTGTGTCCGGGCTGGCCTGGCCGGAGGAGCCCGAGGCCTTGGAACGCGGCGAGGGGCGCAGAGCAGGGGCGTCGGGGTCGCTCTTGGCCGAGGGGGCAGCGAGGCGTCGGGCGCTCCTCGTGCGGGGGAAGCCGATGGTGGGCTGGCTCTGCGGGCTGCTGCTGGCCATGGCGGGGGTTACAGCTGGAGGAGAACAGCGCCCAGGTGAGAATGGACCACCCGCCCCGCGGATCCCGGCCACCCCTTGCCCCTCGAGTCCCGGTCCCCACCGCGCTGCCCCCCATTTCTGGCCCCCATGTACCCCCCAACCCCCTCGGGTCCCCCCAAACCCCCGCGGGTCCGCCCCGCTGCCGCCCCGACCTTCTCGCGCCAAATCAGCCCCGGCTCCGCACTTCCCGCCACCAGGCCGAGCTGGCCCCGCCCCCTTCTCCCCATTGGCTGCGCCGCTGCTGCCGCCGCCAATCGCCGCGGCCAGAGGAAGGGCCGCAACAGACCGGCCAATCAGCGAGCGCAGCCGAGGCAGGGCGGAAGGAGCCGAGCGCGGCGCGCGGGGCATGCTGGGAGCTGTAGTCTGCCTGCGGGTACTCCGCCCTCCCAGTTCCCCCAGTGCTCCCACGGCCCGCACCCCCCAACCCAGTCTTCCCCGTACTCCCAGTGCCACCAGTTCCTCCTACATTGCTTTTCTACTGCCGCCCAGTCTTGTCTCTCCACGCTCCCATACTCCCCACCCTTCCTCCCAGTATTCCCCACGGCGCTTCTCCCCCTGCTCCCAGTACCCACAATCCTCCTTCCCAGTGGTCCCAGTGACACCAGTAACCCCCTTCCTGCCTTCCTACTGCGCTCCCAGTACCCTCCACTCTGACCGCCAAAGTGCCCTGCTCCCAGCCCTTGGGGCATCACCTCCAAAAAAAGAAAAGGGTTTCCTGGCAACCTCCCCCTTAGACAGCGTCCTTGACATCATTAATCACTTTATTACTTTTATTTAAATGTAATTTCCAGCTCCTCCAAATTCCTCTGTTCCCTTTTAAAAGGGCCCCTCGCTCCTGGAGGGGCAGAACCGTATTGAACCTTTATTTAACCCAAAGGGCAGCACTGGGGAGGGGGCTCATTCTCCAGAGAAACCCCACACTCACCCCTCACCCACCTCTCTCCAGCCTCAACAGGGGAAGGTCCATCATCATAGAAAAAAAAAAAAAAAAATCCCCTGAATGAGCCCCAAACCCGCCTGCAGGGGTGGCCCCCCTGCACCCCATGCCCTTCCTGCTATGGTACAAAGAGATCAGTAACTACGTTAGTGTGACCCCCCCGTCGGACAGGGAGTGTAAGGCAAAACATCCCCGGCCCCCAGGGCCCCCCCCACGTGCCCCCTGGTGTGCCAGACCCAGCACAAACGGCCCCCTCCCCATGTAATTAGTGTTTTCTCGTTAAAATGCTCAAGTTTGGGGGGAGTCAGCAGTGAGAGCCAGGGGAATCCCAGGGGGAAGTGCCAGGGGAGCAGTGGTTTTGAGGGGGGCACATGGGGGTGCCCCCCTGTAGGGTCAGAGAAAGGGGGTTCCCACCAGCTGTTGGGGTATCCCTGCATGGTCCCACTCATGTCCCCCCCTGCCTCCACTGGCTCCTGTGCAAAAAAGCAATGGGCTGTGCCGGGATAACAAGGTTCCACCAGGATCACGAGGCTCTGCCGGCCAGTCCCTGCTCCCCCTCGCTCTGGGGGGGTCTCACAGCGTGTCCATTCCCTGCCTGACCCCAGCCACCCCTCCACGAGCCCCCCTGGTCCCAACAGCCAGCACACAGCTCGGCCTTAAGTCCCGTGCCCGGCTCCCAGGCAGATCCCGACGCAGGATCCATGAGGAGCAATGAGGGATGGACCCATCCAGGCTTGCCACGAGGTCACTGATTCCTGGGGGGTGCATAGATGAGGCAGAGCTGGCAGAGCACGCTGCACTGGGGGGATCTGGTGTCCTGGGAGAGGCTGGGAGTGTGTCATGCAGGATCCGGGGCGCTGGGAGCTGGGGGGGTTCTGGCTGAGGAAGGGGAAGGAGCTCCACGTCTCTGCTCTGGAACAATCCACCCGCACAGCCCGCTTTCACCTGGGGATGGGGGGCAGAGGGGGAGCCCCACGAGTAGCTGCAAGACAAGGAAGCCTGTTGGAGCTGAGCAGAGCCGGATCCAGCACGGCTGCTCTCCCTCCCTCCCTCCCTCCTTTCTCCACACCCCCGCGCCAGCTGCTGGCTCCCCCCCCCCCACCCCGACCTCCCCGCGGAGATCTGGAGCCTGGGATTTGTGCCTGGCAGCAGCCGCTGCAGCCACACCGAGCTCGGGGCTTTTCAAACCCGCATTAAACATTCATGGCTCTAAAAATAAACGAGCATCCCATTCTCCCCGGAGTCTCCGCCGGGATCCGCAGCGCTGACGTGCGGCACCAAGGGCACTTTGAGCTCTGCTGGGTCCGAGTGCCAGTGCTTGGGCTTTATCCTGAGGGTCTGCATCCCCCCAGCTCCTGCCCAGCCCTGCCCTGGCTGTGGGGTCCTTTGAGATCCCCTCTGGTGCCAAAGGTGCTAAGCAAAGGCAGGAATGAGCTCTGCAGGCAAACCAGGAGCAGGTGGGATAGGGCATCCACACGGCCCAAATTTCTGCCCTGCCCCACAGCACAGAGAGCTGCCCTCAGGGACCTCTGGGAATGGGGCTCAGCACCCCCAGAACACCAGCAGGGCCCAGGGCATGGCTACTGAACCACCCATCATCCACCCTTCAGGGCTTGGGACCTCTGGGAATGGGGCTCAGGACCCCTGGGAATGGGGATCAGCACCCTCAGGACCCCAGCAGGGCCAGGGCATGGCTACTGCATCACCCATCACCCACCTTTCAGGGCTTGGGACCCCTGGGAATGGGGCTCAGGACCCCCAGAACACCAGCAGGGCCCAGGGCATGGCTACTGAACCACCCATCACCCACCCTTCAGGGCTTGGGACCCCTGGGAATGGGGCTCAGCACCCCCAGAACACCAGCAGGGCCCAGGGCATGGCCACTGCACCACCCACTCTGTGCAGGGACAAACAGGACAGTGCCAGCCATGAGGGCACAAGAGGGCAAAGGGAATTTGGGACATCCCCTCCTCCTCCTCCTCACCTCTGTTTGTTTTGCTGGGGTAGATTCTCTGGAAGTATTTATATTCCTCTGGGGCTGGGAAGTCTTCAACGGGATGAAAGGAGTATTTGGATTCAAAGTCATCTGTGAAGAAACAGCAAAAAGGGCAGGTGAGGGAGGGGGGCTCTGGGAGAGCCTGGCCAAAGCCACAGGGCTCGGCTCTGAGGGGGATCCGTGCGGGGTCGCACTCACCCAGGAATGCTCTGACGGTGGAGATGGAGTCCCGGTGCCCGTTGCGCACGGGCGGCGGCGGCGGCGGGGGCCCGGCCGGGGTCCGGGTAGGTGGCGGCGGGGGCTTCCCCCGGCTGGGGGGCTCGGCGGGGCCGTGCAGTCTGTAGGGGGGTGGGGGCGGGGGGGCGTCGCGCCCTCCGTTCCGCAGCATCGGCGGCGGGGGCGGCGGAGCTGCGGGGACAGCGGGGTCAGCGCCGAGCGCGGCATTCCCGGGGCAAACCCAGGGACGTCCCCCGGAGCGTTCCAGGCCAGCTGCCGCGCCAGACCGCGGCCCAGGGTTGCTCCTACGCGTGCCCGGAGATTTCCTGCTCGCTCCTGACATCTGCATTCCTCATCCCTCCACCAGCTGCAGCGCAAGGACCAGCCAGCCCTGCTGCCCCACGGCTCACCGTCCACCCCGGGGGCTGCTCCAGCCCCACAGTGAGCACAGGTCCCTCTGCACCAGAGGAGATCTCAGGAGCAGCTACAATCCAGAGAGTCCAAGGGCAGCAGCTCCACATGGAGCCAAGATGCTGCCTGCCAGGACTGGAAGCCACATCCGCAGTGTCACCGAGGCAGTGACAGGACCCACAGCCCCTCTGACCCACCTCTCACTCCTGCCCAGCCTCCCGCAGAGGCTCCGTGGCAGTTCGTGCTCCTCATTAGCCTAATTACACTCGGGCTGACAGCGCAGATCCCCAGCTGTAGCTCTGAGGAGGGATTCTGGCAGGGCCAGAAGGACGGAGCGGCTTGGCAGGGGCCCAGGCAGGAGCTGCGGTCTGGACGGGGAGCCCAGGAGTGCACGGGGGGGCACTGGGGCACAGCCAACAGCAGTCCCAGCCATGGGGACACACTCCCGAGGGCTGCACACCCAGGGAAAGGCTTCTCCCTGCTCTGCCATAGCTTTTTGCACCCTCCCAGTGACATTCAGGAAGCTCAGGGGAGCTATGCTCCCCTGCATTCTCATCTCCCACCCCAGGAGAGCATGGGCAGGAGTTGCCCAGTCACAACCCACTGCCAGCACCAGGCTTGGAAGGAGCTGGATTATCACGGGACATGACCAAGGGAATGTGTTAAACATGGCACTACAGCTCCTGCCCCAGCCCAGCCCCATCACCACATGCAGAACACTCACTGTGCCCAGAAGCCAACTCTTGCCACCCTGATCACCCCAGCTGCTCCCAGGCACCGTGGAGCCAGTTGCTCTTACTCACTCCACAGCTCGAGGGGCCTCTCACCTGCTCCACGGCTCGGGGGGTCCCTGGCCGGCGGCGGGGGGCGGCTGCTCTGCAGGTTCGGGGAGGCAGCAGCGGGCGGCGGTGGCGCCAGGCCCCGCAGGGGGCCCGGTGCCTTCCTGTGCAAGGAGTTGTGTCTCTGCGGCAGCTCCGGGGCCGACTCGCTGCTGGGGCTGGAGGGGCCGTTGGGGACACCGGGGGGCTGCCGGTAAGGGGGCGGCGGGGGGGCGAGGGACTGGCCCTGAGCGCCCGAGCGGAGGCTGACAGGGGAAGGGGGGGGTTTGATGGGCGGCGGGGCGGGGGGCCCGTCCCTGCTGCCGGGCGGGCGCTGTCCCGGGGTGGGCGGCAGCGGCTTCTCCCGGTTGTAGGGCGAGGCCTTGGCGTGCGCTGGAGGGGGGGCCGGGGGGGCGGCGGCGCGGCGTCCCGGCGGCGGGGGCGGCGGGGCCGAGGAGCTGTGCTTCATGCCGGTGCCACCGGCGGCGCCGGGCCGGGACAGGTCAGGCAGGGAGGGTCTCTGCGTGCGCGGCAGTTCCGGCGGGGAGCCCCGGCTGCTGTCGGCATCGTCCTGAGGGCGGCTGTTGTTGGCCGGCACGGGGGGCCTGGGAGCAGCTGCTCGGGAGCCAGGGACTTGTAGTGTTTGTTTAGTGGAGCTGTCTGCGGGGAAGGAGAGCACAGTGAGGGATTGGGGATGGCATGGGAGCAGTGCCCTGTCCCTGCACAGAGCCACGGCCAAGGAGGGCCAGGCCAAGGGATGGCCAGGGACGGCTTTTTGGCACACGCGGGGAGCTGGCACTGAGCACAGCCACACACGGCTCCTCTCTCACCACTCTACTCTGTGGCCACCACAGAGAACACATAGAGTTCAGCAATACACGAAACTCCTGCGGCCTCCAAGAAGTCTGTGTGTGGGGCTGAGGCTCAGGGAGGGTACAGCTGGCCTGTGCCATGCATGGGATGTGATTTGGGGTCCTGCCTC